GTCCTTGGTCGGTTGGTCTGGTCGGTTGGTCCTCGGTCGGATGGTTAGCGGTCGGACAGACAGGTCTGATGGTCACCAGATCGGACAGACAGGTCTGATGGTCTGCGGTCGGATAAAGTAGGTCGGCTGGTCTGCGGTCGGATAGGCAAGTCATCTGGTCCGCAGGTGGATAGACAGGTTGCTTGGTGGGTGCGGCCAAGGAGTCTTTTGGTCTAGCGATTGGTCTCTGGATTGGTCGGTTGGGCTATTTGAGTTCTGGAACTGGTGGAGGCGTTTGGCGAGGCGGTTGATGTAACCGACCAGACGACGTTTCAAAATGTTTCGTCTTGGGCGGTTGACGGCGGTTGCTAGCGACGGTTCCAAACGTCTTTTCAAGCCAGTACAAAGGTAGGGTAAGAGCTAAATTGTCATTTTCGAAATGAGGGGCATGATAGACTTTTCAAGTGACAAATCCATACAATCTCGTGTATAACAACATACAAGTTTTAATACCCAAATCAACTAATACATAAGGTCTTGTTACGTACAAAAATAATAATAATAATAATAATGGTAGCAGTGTCTTGAACGAAGGTAGGACCCGAAGTCGGGTAGAAAAGTAGAAAAATTTGCGCTCAGGTCGGTTGGTCAGGTCGGGAGGTCCTCAAGATGGAAAGTCATCAGGAAGGAAAGTCCTCAAGTCGGTTAGTCAGGTCGGTTGGTTAGCGGGTCGGAAAGTTTGTAGGTCTGATGGTCAGTAGGTCGGACAGACAGGTCTGATGGTCAGCAGGTCGGACAGACAAGTCGGAAGGTCTGCGGTCGGGTAGTCAGGTCGGTTGGTTAGCAGGTCGGATGGTCCATAGGTCGGAAAGTCTGCAGGTCTGATGGTCAGCAGGTCGGACAGACAGGTCGGATGGTCAGCAGGTCGGACAGACAGGTTTGATGGTCAGCAGGTCGGATAGACAGGTGCGATGGTCAGCAGGTCGGACAAACAAGTCTGATGGTCTGCGGTCGGATAAAGTAGGTCGGCTGGTCTAGCAATTGGTCTCTTGAATGGTCGGTCGGGCCAGTTGAGTTCTGGAACTGGTGGAAACGTTTGGCGAGACGGTGCAAGACACGTGTCAATAAAGGAGGAATTAGTGGGCAGTTGATCTAACCGACCAGACGACGTTTAAAAGCGTTTCGTCTTGGGTGGTTGACGGCGGTTGCTGGCGACGGTTCCAAAACGTCTATTCAAGTAATATTTAAGGATTTAGATTTTTTATTTTCAAGCATCTTCAATCAACTTCAACAAAGCAAAGTCAGATTTGGGGATCACCACTTTAAATTTTCAGCATTTTAATTTTCCAATCAATTTCCTTTTATGTACCGTACAGTGTTTAGAGATTCCTAATCTCAGACGCTAAAAAATCAAATTTAAGGTGTTACGTACAAAAATAATAATAATAATAAAAATAATGGTAGCAGGGTCTTGAACGAAGGTAGGACCCGAAGTCGGGCAGAAAAGTAGAAAAATTTGCGCTCAGGTCGGTTGGTCAGGTTGGAAAGTCCTCAGGTCGGGAGGTCCTCAAGATGGAAAGTGGTCAGGTCGGGAAGTCCTCAGGTCGGGAGTTCCTCAAGACGGAAAGTGGTCAGGTCGGGAAGTCCTCAGGTCGGGAGGTCGTTAAGACGAAAAGTGGTCAGGTCGGGAAGTCCTTAGGTCGGGAGGTCCTCAAGACGGAAAGTGGTCAGGTCGGGAAGTCCTTAGGTCGGGAAGTCCTCAGGTCGGGAGGTCGTCAAGACGAAAAGTGGTCAGGTCGGGAAGTCCTTAGGTCGGGAAGTCCTCAGGTCGGGAGGTCGTCAAGACGAAAAGTGGTCAGGTCGGGAAGTCCTTAGGTCGGGAAGTCTGCAGGTTTAATGGTCAGCAGGTCGGACAGACAGGTCTGATGGTCAGCAGGTCGGATAAAGTAGGTCGGCTGGTCTAGCAATTGGTCTCTGGAATGGTCGGTCGGGCAAGTTGAGTTTGGGAACTGGTGGAAGCGTTTGGCGAGACGGTGCAAGGCACGTGTCAATAAAGGAGGAATTAGAGATTCCTAATCTCAGGCGCTAATTAATCAAATTTAAAGATATTTTCCATATCTTTGAATTTTACTTTTTGTCTGTTGAAAAAATACATCAACACTTTATTTTCATATTTTATTTTTTATTGTTGAAAAATTGCATCAACAACAATAAAAAATAAAATAGAGGAGAATATAGATGAAATGTTTGAGATAAGAAGGGTGACCCTGCATCTCTTTATGAGTTTTGAAATGTCAAAAATAGCAAGGATATTTTAACTTTGATAATTGTTACGCACAAAAAATAATAATAATAATAATAATAATAATAATAATAATAATAATAATAATAATAATAATAATAATAATAAGGATAGCAGGATCTTAAAGGAAGATAGACACGAAGTCGAGTGGAAAAGGAAAAAAAAATTGCGTTCAGGTCGGTTGGTCCTCGGTCGGATGGTTAGGTGCGTTGGTTAGCAATCAGATAGGCAGGTCGGAAGATCCTCGGTCGGTTGGTCTGGTCGGTTGGTCCTCGGTCTGATGATCAGGTCGGTTGGTTAGCGGTCGGAGTGGCAGGTCGGAAGGTCCTCGGTCAGTTGGTATGGTCGTTCGGTCCTCGGTCGGACAGACAGGTCTGATGGTCAGCAGGTCGGACAGACAGGTCTGATGGTCTGCGGTCGGATAAAGTAGGTCGGCTAGTTTGCGGTCGGATAGGCAAGTCAGCTGGTCCGCAGGCGGATAGACAGGTCGCTTGGTTGGTGCGGCCAAGAAGTCTTTTGGTGTAGCGATTGGTCTCTGGATTGGTCGGTTGGGCTATTTGAGTTCTGGAACTGGTTGAGGCATTTGGCGAGGCGGTTGATGTAACCGACCAGACGATGTTTCAAAACGTTTCATCTTGGGCGGTTGATGGTGGTTGCTGGCGACGGTTCCAAAACATCTTATCAAGCTAGTACAAAGGTAGATTAAGGGCTAAATTGTCATTTTCGAAATGAGGGGTTGGATAGACTTTTCAAGTGGCAGATCCGTACAATCTAGTCTTTTCAAGCCAGTACAAAGATAGATTAAGGACTAAATTGTCATTTTCGAAATGAGGGGCATGATAGACTTTTCAAGTGGCAGATCCGTACAAACTCGTGTTTATAAGATATAATATATTGTTAGAATTATAACATTCAATAATGTTTCACGTTGTATTCATATGTATTTTTATACATAATTCGCTATATATTTTCTACTGCTTTCATCCATAAACTAATGTCCTATTATCCTATTTGTGACGTTCAATAACTATTGTCCTATTTCTTTTTCTTTTTTTTAAACAGAAAATTTACATTTTTATCTTTCATTCATTTATTACTTTTAATTTATACTGGACAAATTTGTCAATTTATAACAAAAAGACAATCACATGCAAAACGTGTAAATATACTTTAGGACAATAGAAATTGAACGAAGGGAGTATAATTTAAGTATACATTGTTTATATCAAATAATATCATCAATTTACCAACTCACTAATTTTGCTGATATTAAATCATAAATAAGAGAATTAATTACCTGTTCTTACTATTTTTACTTAACTTTTTTCTTTGTCTTTTATATTTAAAGTAAGTGGTTAGGGTGCTGATACTAATTACCTTAATAATCACATCTACAGTGTGTTTTTTTGGGTTATTTAATTTTGAATTTTGATTTGAATAATAAAATTTTAAATTTAAATAATTGTTTTATATAGTATAAATAAAATTAATTTTATATATAATATAAAAATTAAAATTTATTTTTTAATTTTTTTTATGAATAATAAAAATAGAAGCAAATCACCCAAATAAACACACCATTGACCATATTTTTAAAATTTTTTAAATATTATATTTCAATACAATATATAATAAAATATCTAGAATATATAATATAAATAAATAAAAATACTATATAATAATACTATATTTATTGATTTATGTTAACATAAATTAATTTTATAAAAAATAATTTTATTTTTAAATATTAATAAAAACATTTATATTTATTGAAAAAAAAACAATAAAATGTTAAATTTTTTATAAATTAATTTATATTTATTATATATATTTAATATTGAAAAAATACTAAAAATAAAAACAAATATTATTATTAGTTATCTCTATGCAGTTATGAGATAAATGAAATATATTCCATCTCTTTTTTCAATACTATTTTTCAATTTCCTATTCGTTATAAATAATAATAAAAAATATTTTCCCTTAATAATATATTTATTTTTTTATTCAAAGTATTAATTTTTTTTTTAAAGTAATTGTACTATTTACTTTACATTACAAATACTTTCTAAATTTACAATATATTACAGAAATGTCATTATATTTATATCATACAATACTAATAAGGTTAATTTAGTCTTTTTACTTTTATTTCTACTTTATCCCAATATAATACTAATATTTTTAAAACTTCTTGAAAAAACAAATAAATAGATAAATAAGGGATCGAGAGAGGATAAAATATTTTATACAAAAATAAAAAAACTGAAATTTTTTAAAATACTTGTTATAAAAAATAAAAAATTAAATATTCAACTTAAAATAATATATTTTATATTTTTGATACAATGTTTTTATCACACACAAATAAATCATTTCATGTAAAAATTGCTAGGTAAAAGAAGCCATCATGTGTTGTATTATTATATTATATATAATGTGCAATGAGATTTGTATTAATAATTAATATAAAAAAATATATATATAAAATTAATTTCATATGTTAAAAAATTAATAAAATAATATTTAAAAAAAATCAGAAAAGAATATAGTTTTATTTATGTGTAGCCCCCTTCCTTTCACAAAAGGCGAGAAAGGAGAAACTAGTCAAGATTTTAACCATTATTAATTCCTTTTTCATACCATACGAATTACGACCTTTATTTGAATTCAATTAAAAATTAAAATTAAAATTAAAATTAAATAAATAAAATTACAGGGTCCAGTACACATACATACATACAACTATTTGTCCTTTTTATCCAATAAAGCGGAACCTTTTAATTTTTTCTTTTGTTTCTGTCTGTCCTTTCTTGTTCTCCAAATCCCTCCGCCGTCCCCCGCCGCCGGAAAATATGACAACCATCGCCGCCATTTAAGCCCTCCCTGCAACTCCATTTTTTCCGGCGAGCTTTCAGTTCATAAAAATGCAGCGGCATTCCCTATTCCTCGCCGTCGTCTTCCTCACCACTGCCGCCGCCGCCGCCGGCCGGAGGCTCCTCCACCAACCCCTCTTCCCGGCGGAGCCGCCGCTTTCCCCCACCGCCACCATCTCCGACCCACCCTACCCCTCCCCCACCCCCCAACCCCGCCCCAAATACCCTTTCTCCTCCACCCTACCCCCACCCGACACCACCCCCCAAAACCCCTTCTTCCCTTCCTTCCCCTCCCCGCCGCCGCCGGAATCCTCCACCCCCTCCTCCTCCTCCGCCTCCTCCACTGCGTTCCCCACTTTTCCGGCCAACATATCCTCACTCGTTATTCCTTCCTCCTCCTCACGCGCATCCCACGCGCCGGTGAAACTCATTTCCCTCATCGTCTCCGTCTCCATCTTCTCCACCCTCGTATTCGCTTCCGTCCTCCTCCTCCTCCTCCGCCACCGCCGCCACCGCCACCGCCACCACCCCCTCAAAACCGACAGCCTCCGCCTCTTCCCCCCCGACGCCGCCCCCTCCGACACCGCCGCCGCCGTCGACTCCTCCAAAAAACCCCCGCCGCCGCTCTTCCCCCGCCACACCTCCTCCACTTCCACCTCCTCCGAATTCCTCTACCTGGGAACCCTAGTCAGCTCTCGCGACGCGGCCACCGCGGCCGCCGCCCCCGACCCCCCAAAACCTCCCCCGCCGCCACCCCATACCGCCGCCTCGGCTCGCCGGAGCTCCAGCCCCTTCCGCCATTGCCGCGCCAGCAGTCCCATCAAAGTCACGTGCTTCGTCACGTGACTCCCTCCCAAAATGACGACAAAGAAGACGACGAAGAGTTCTTCTCCCCACGCGCCTCCACCGGAAACAACACCAGCCCTTACCGCACCAAATCACCCCCCAAAACTGCCGTCTCCTCCGCCGGCGGCGGCGGCCATATCCGCCTAACCTCCTTAAATTCCCCCACCTACTCCCTCTCCCCCGACAACAGCCCCTCCGTCGTCCCCAACTCCGGCAGCCCCCAAAGCCTCCTCTCAAAGTCCCCCGATAGCTCCATAACATTTCCGGCGCCGATCCCCCGGTTCATCCCCCCACCGCCGGCCCGGGAGCCAAGGGCATTTTCGCCATTTTCCCCATCCTCCACCGACGACTGCGCCACTCGCGACTGCTCCCCCCGCCCTTCCGACTTCTCAAGCGGCACCGCAGCTCCGCCGCCGCCACCTCCCCCTCCGGCCAGGTCCTGGGACAGAGCTCCAGCTCCTGGACCTCCAGAGCTAATATCCCCGTCCCTGAAAGCTCCCGTTAATGGCGAGAAGGGCAATTTGGTCAATTCAGGTTCAAAATCCGAAGAACTAATAATTAAGCCAAAGCTGAAGCCCCTCCATTGGGATAAAGTTCGAGCTTCTTCGGACAGAGCCATGGTGTGGGATCAGTTAAAATCAAGTTCTTTTCAGTAAGAATCTCCATTCTTACCTTTTTTTTTTTTTTTTTTTTACTTTAATCAGGTCGAATTATTCTGCATATCCTTTTCAATTCAATAAAGATCATTAATTGCTGTTGAGTTGCAGAATCTTTAAAATTCCACCATTTGATTTTCAATCAAAGTATCTTTGACTGATGATTGCTGCTGTCACTGTCCTTCTTCAAATCCATTTCCAGGGTGAATGAGGAAATGATCGAAACTCTGTTCATGGCGAATTCATCGGCAGCTGCTGCTGCTGCTGCCGCCGGGCGCGACTTTGGCCGGCAACACACGATCCCAGCAATGCCGACAACGACGAACCAAGACAACCTCGTGCTTGATCCAAAGAAGTCCCAAAACATTGCTATACTATTGAGGGCTCTAAATGTGACTGTTGACGAAGTTTGCGAAGCACTTTTAGAAGGTTTGGATGTATTTCTCTTGAGACGAGCATTGCTTCGCCAAGCATTCTTGTTTAACTTTTTGTTGTGGTTGATAAAATAGGCAATGCGGACATTGTCGGGACGGAGCTCCTCGAGAATTTGTTAAGAATGGCGCCGACAAAAGAGGAGGAGAGGAAGCTAAAAGAAGACGAGTCGCCGTTCAAAATTGGGACGGCCGAGGCATTTCTCAAGTCCGTGCTCGATATACCTTTTGCCTTCAAAAGGGTCGACGCAATGCTTTACATAGCCAATTTTGAGTCGGAAGTCGAGCACCTCAAGAGGTCGTTCGACACGCTAGAGGTATATATATATACTATTTCGCCGATGTTACTTTCGGGAGATAAATAGATCGCGTAATTAGAGTTGTGCTTTAACATTGCTCGGCCGCAGTCGGCGTGTAGGGAACTGAAGGGCAGCCGAATGTTTTTGAAGCTTCTAGAAGCCGTGCTCAAGACGGGGAACCGTATGAACGTTGGCACCAACCGCGGCGACGCGCAAGCCTTCAAGCTCGACACACTTCTCAAGCTGGTTGACGTCAAGGGCGCAGATGGGAAAACAACTCTTCTCCATTTCGTGGTCCAGGAAATAATCCGCGCCGAAGGATTCCGGCTGTCCGACGAAAAACCCGAGCAATCTTCTCTCCAGGACGAAGTCCAGTTCCGAAAGATCGGTCTTCAAGTGGTCTCCGGATTGAGCGGCGAACTCACCAACGTCAAGAAAGCCGCAGCCATGGATGCAGACGTGCTCAGCAATGACGTCGCAAAATTAGCCGCCGGCATCACCAAAGTTAACGAAGTCCTAAAACTGAGCGAAAAAGATGGTGGCGGGAAGTTCTCCGACCACATGAACGAGTTCTTGAAGCAGGCGGAGGCGGAGATTGCCCGCGTTCAAGCGCAAGAGAGTATCGCCGTCTCGACAGTGAAGGAGCTAACCGAGTATTTCCATAGCGACTCGGCTAAGGAAGAAGCTCATCCATTGCGGCTGTTCATGGTTGTTCGAGATTTCCTGACGGTGCTCGACCGAGTGTGCAAGGACGTTGGCAGGATCAACGAGCGAACCATGGTGAACTCGGGCAGGCAGATTCATTTCCCGCCAAACCCGAATCTTGCTCCGGTTTTTCTCGGATTTGGCGAGAGGCAGCAGTGGAGTTCGTCCGACGACGAAAGTCCGTTCTCGGGTTGATCAGCCTCTGGATTATTATCCGGAAATCGTTGTTGCCGCCGCCTTGGATTTTGTCTGACGATGAACTGAATAAGGTATGTTATCAGTTTGTGTAAAAAAAAACATCAAAAACATATCCCTCCATATGTGACTTTACTTTAGTAGATATTCGTACATTTGGGTTAAATCTTGTATGTAATAATGTAATATATATGTCCTAATCGACCAAGTTAGATATGATTATTGTTTTATTGGTATTGATTCGCGAGTGTCATTTCTGTTTTCTGTTTAGAGCTGTTAAATAGTCGAATGGAGTGTCGAAGCTTTTGTCTAACTTGAATCGTGCTGCATTCTGTCGAAAAATAGGCAACACCAGTGGCTAGTTCTACATATATGATTATTAGCTGCAACGACGACGGCGCAAATGATGCGGAAACTCGCTTATGTTAAATGTTACCTCGTGGAACCTCCGAAGGCGGAAGAAATCTCGAAGTCAATTCAGTTATTCCATGATTTCTCGGCTTCCATGCGCTCGATGACGCGCAGGGCTTCCTCTTCAGTCGCAGGAACAACATTCCGTATCCTATGCCCATTTTTCCGAGCATCGGGGTGCACGGTGAACGTGAAGTAGAATTTGTTCGATACCTTCATGTTTGAAGCAAAATGAAGCGAAAGGTCATATAATCGAACATTATCAAGCAAGTCTAATGCTGAGAGGTTTAAATATAAGAAAAGAAAAACGACGGGCTTGCCTGACTGGATCGAAGCTCCGGCTTCATAACATGAGCGACAACTTCCACGTTGATCATAGGACTCTCCGGATTCTCGAGTTCTGTATACAACACGCAAGAATTGAAGCGTAGGAAGTTCCCGACATCGACCTGTATCCTCAGCACAAAGGCGTCGGTGGGTAACAAGATGAGACGAGCAACGAAAATGAGTTAGGATTAAAGGAAATGAATTTGAGGGGATTGGGCTTACGGGTTTAAGGAAATCGACGTGATCAACTTCAACGAAAACAGGCTGACTCCCGGCAAAGGCGTAAGCAGTCGAGTAGGCTAACTCAAAGGCTCGTCGCATCAAGAATCCTCCAAAGATTCTTCCATGGATGTTCCTTTGCTGCGGCTGACAAATTAAAGAGTTCTGAAGGCAAGTATCCTTTATGAGAATGCTGTCCCGATCTGCTAATGCCGGCATGTCGCAGAACACTCGGCTCTCGGACAGCAATTCATCGAGCCTCTTCATTTCCTCATCGCTGACTTCTTTCTTTTGCTCTCCTCTCTTCTTCCTCCTCAGGTTGTTTCGTTCCTCGGCTTGTTCCCAGAGGAACTTTTCCTTCTCTGTTTCGGGAGAGATCTGGTTTATTACAGCAGATTTTCCGGTCTTGGAATCGCGAGCAACGAACGTGAAGTTTGCTGTCAGAGCGACTGCATCTGAGGAGTCGAGTTCTGCAAGAAAAAGGGTATAATGTCGACAATTGCGCAATAAACTATATCAAGATAACTCACAAAATTTATAGCTCAAACTACCAACAATTTGAAACAAAAGCAGCTTCTCGATTTCTCTTATCCTCGATAAATTTATATTCGTAAACACTTCTACAAGTAACTCTACTTCTTTCAGTTATCGAATGATTCAAGAACTCCTAAAAAGCAATTACGTGCAATTGAAGCTGCGTTGCATTGAAGAAGCTAAAATTAGAGGGCGCAGCCAATTTTGGGTTGTCTAGATCGACAGATAAACCACAGAACGAACAACACGATTATAACCTAGAAAATCGTTGGTTTTCGGGGTTTTACACGATTATGATGCTGAGATACCTTCAGATGACTGAGTCACTTCGAGTAGAATCTCCATGGACGACCGGCCGACCCAAGTGACAGCTCCTTCGATCGTGAGGTCAGCATCGACCTGAATTGGTTTTCTTAGGACCATCTTGTCCACTGAAGCTGTAACCAATATCAATGGCCTTGTCGAGCTATCTTCATTGCAACAATGCTGGTCGATCCAGAAATCGAAAACAATAGCAAACATTAATCGACCGTTTGTAACCAATTTGATCGATCAATCGGTCATATCTAATTCATTCTAGCCTCTTGGATGATGCTGTTAATGTTCATACTCTAATTCAACCTCTGCAAACTTTCGAAACCAAGCTTAGTTTGAATTCGATTGTGTTTCGAGGCTAAGAACATCGTATCAATACCTAATTTTCATTTCGAATCCAAACTATAACCAAAACCATAAACACAAATTCAACTAATGAACATTAGCATTTAGTTATAGCAGAAACAATCTCCAACAAATCATTGCTAAAAGCTTCCATGGCGAACAGAATCATGTAATTGTGTCTAGATAAACACTTGAAATGAATATACATGTCGAAAATTCAATCCAGAAAATGAGATTACCTTAAAGGATATAGTTCCTGCCAAAGCATCGAGATCCTCCAGCAGCTTCCCGAGCCTGATCTCATTCCATGGATTTCTGTACTGCTCTCTCAGACTGTAATCACTAGAGAACTTATACAGCACGCTTGTCCTGCTCCTCGACGGAGTTTTCACGATCAATTCGTTCTGTACAGGAGCGCTCTCAGGAGCACTCGGAGGCTTCTCAAAAATGCTCGATCTGGCTTCCCACAGCGCGTTGGTCACCGGCGAATGGTACATTCCCGGCCAGAGACTGATCGGCTTTCGCATCGAAGAGCCAGCGTCGATGGGGGCGGAGCTCGGGGAATTGACGGTGGAGACAACAGCGATTGGATCTGAAACGAAAGGACCCGATGACGTGGGGGATGAGAATCGTCTTCTCTGGCTGAATTTCTGCGCCATTGGGGAAATGAATTTGGGTAATTCGGCGGAGCGGAATCCATTCTTCGACGATAAATAGGCAAACGATGGACGATTTGGCGAAGAATTGTGAGTGTGGAGGCATGTGATTTCGGCGTTGGGGTGGGGAATTAGGGATGGAGAAGAGAGACTGTTGGTGGGGAGACGATGGGGCGTGGGGAAGACGGGACAGGTCTTTCTGAGAGTTTTCATGAAGTATAGTTTGCGATGGAAGGAAGGTGGCATATGGTTGAACTGCAACTGCGTGAAAACTGCTCTGCTGCTGTTGCTGCAGATTTCAGATTTTGGTTTGGTAACTGCTTCGGAGAAGGCGACGCCATTGGAGGGAGGCTTTGGTTCCTCGACCGGTTTACTCGATGTTATTGGGCGACTCCGAACCGTTTCGGTTCAACCCCGGTTCGAATTTGTGGAAGGTGAGCCGGTCTGGACCGAGTGACGAGCTTGGTTCTTGCCTATCCGCATCAAAGAAACAGACTAAAAATTTCTCTTTACTTCCACACTATCATCTTTCACTTCCACTTCAACAAAATATTATATATATATATAAATTTATTTTTATTTCTAACATAATTTAATTTTAAAAATAAATTTAAATAAAAATATATCAACATATATTATTTTTATAGAAAATAATTTTATATAATAAAAATATATAAAAAATAAAAAATAAATAAAATTGTTATAAATAAATACAAAAGAAAAAAATAAGAAAATTTTGTTGAATTTCTCTCGCAGCAACTCTAATCACTTTTTTATTTTCTTTTTAAATTTAATAATGTCACTTTGCTGCAAAGTAGAAAAGAGCTCTTAAATAGAGAAACTACCGATGCGAGTTCGGATCCAAAAAATTATACCTTTCATAGATTAAGAATTTTCAAAATTTAAACTTGATTGGATTTCCTAAGAATCATAAAATTGATAAAATTTATACCTTTCAATTTTAGTTGGTTTGAATGTTGATCGGATCAAATCCTGTGTTGATTCGACCTACATGTAATCAAGGGGAAGGTTACGGTGCTGATGCAGCACGGCAGCATAGGTAAAATATAGAAATATCATATTTTTTTATTATACATAATATATACTTGTTTGTTTAGAATTACAATGTATATTGTATAAAAATATATGTCATGTGTTAAAATTACATTTCGTATGTATTATTAATTTATGTGTTATATTTGTATTATATTAATATTAATAATGTATTGTCAATATTAATATGATTGTTAGCATATTATGTGCTATTCAACACAATGATAAATTATAAATTTAATACTGTATCGGGCGTAACTATGTGGGGCAAGGGAGGCAGCCTTCCTCCCCCAACCCATCCTTAGGGTGTGTTTGTTTGTTGATTTTAGTTTTTGGGTTTGGATTTTTGAACAGTAAGTTGAATTTGAATAGTTGTTTGATATGATACACATAAAAAGTTGATGTGATATTTTGAATGTAAAACAAATTTATAATATAATATAAAAAAGAAAAATAATTGTTTGATATAATATTTTTTGAGGGAAAAAAAAATTTGAATAGTAAGAACTCACAAAAAAAACACAACCTCAGTTTTTTATTATAACTTATACTCCCTCCGTCCTATAGCTAATTTGTCCACATTAGCTGAGGCACTGGAGCACAGAATTTTAGGAATTATATAATTAATAAGTAATTAAAAAATATATTATGCAAAATAATTATGATTTAATAAAAATAATTATAGATTAAGATGACTAAATAGTTTACTTAAAATAAAAAAATTATAGATTAAGATGACTAAATAGTTTACTTAAAATAAAAAAATTATAAATTATTAATTTTAAAATACGCACAAACAAAGGAAAAAAACAAATTATGTGAAACAGATGAAAATAGAAAAAATGGACAAATTAAGTGGGACATAGGGAATATAATTTTAAAATTATATATAATAAGAAACTATTAAAATTTTTGGTATAATTTTTTTAATATCAAAATTTTCTATATGTTTCTAATATCATATTGAATTTTTTTAAGTACAATCACAATATATAATTTGATATTTTCAATATACACTAAAATAATCTCAGTATACTACTAGAAAATTGAGCTAAAATTACAGTAGAAAATAACTTGCAATTTTAGTACAAATTTACGAGTTTTTTTTCTAAACATTCACGACAAAATATACATCGATATACCATAATATATACTATTATAATAAATTCAACAAAAACACATAAAACATCGACATTTACAACAATTTTACAATTCTCTATATCTCACAGCAAAACTTAAAATCATATAGAAAATACTCTATACCTAATTTTACTCGCTAAACTCGAGCCACGGCCCCTCGACATCGACCTATTATTCGACAAAACTCAACGTAGAGTCGCAACGAGGAATAACCGAGAGCGGATACTTCCTATGAATAGTGATCCCTTCGCCCTCCGACATATCCAAATCTTCGCCTCTCGATCCATCGGGTAGTTCAAACTCGAAGTTGAGCACGAGGTTCGCTAGCGCAAGTTCGGCAAGTCCAAGGGCAAATGCGCTGCCGGGACACCCTCTTCGACCTCCGCCAAACGGGATAAACTGAAACCGCGCTTTGAAATCTACCAAATTATTCATAAACCTTTCCGGGATAAAATCCTCGGGATCTTCCCACAACGACGGATCTCTTCCGAGAGCCCACGCGTTGACAACAACCCGTGTCCCGGCTAAAACATCGTAGTTTAATATCTTGACGTCTCGGGTTGTCTTGCGAGGAACGAGCAAGGGAAGCGGCGGGTGGAGGCGTAAGACCTCCTTGACGACGGCTTTTAAGTATTTGCATTTGTCTAAATCGTCTTCGGTTATCTTGCTTTTGTGCCTTGCGACGTTTTTAAGTTCCTTCTTTAGTTTCTTCATTGTATTCTCGTGCTTCAAGAGCTTCGACAATGTCCATTCCATAAGCGTGAATGTTGTATCAGTCCCGGCAGCAAACATGTCCTGCGGCATTGTAAGATGACAAGAGCATTCGTCAATCTTGGACTAAACTTGACATTGCAAAAATGCATGTAAACCGTGATCGAAAGAAGATCGTATTCAACTAAAGTAACCATTGATGCAAGTGTCGAAATGAGTTAACACGCGACAAATGTAGCCCGGAAAAATTTGTAAGTAATTTCAAATTATGCTCTTTTTAACTAGAGTTTCCAAAGTTGTGGAGAATTTTGAAAATAGTAGAGGCCAAATAACAAAAAAATTTCTTTGTGGTTTGCGAAATCTGCTGAAAAAATCCCTTAGTCTTAAATTTTCATTTTATCTACTTATAATTCAGATAATGTTGCGAAAAAGTATTTAACGAAGATTGTAGCAGACTAGCTTAAACTGCAATTATTATTACAAATTCACAGGTAACATGAAATGAAAGGAAACTAGTTTTAAGAGGGTACCTATGCTATCTATGAATGATAGGATGTTTCACAAGAAGAAATAAATATATTTATATTTAGACGGTGACTACGGTGCTCAATTTAAAATTCAGCATGCTGAACAACACACAATATTACTATTGATAATACATTATTTATATTAATATAATACAAATACATTATATGAACTAACAATACATGATATAATTTCACACAATATATGTACATGATATAGTTTCACACAACGCATGCAATAGTTAATTTTACCGCATGACATATTCACTTTTATTGCACATACTGTAATTATGAACAATCAGCTCATATCTTTATTACACACAACATCATGCGTTGTTTCTATATTTTCCGGTGTTCTTGCGTAATCCTTTATATTTGTTATTTCGAAATTCATTCCTTCTAACATTGCAATAAACATGTATCAACAAGAAATAAATCGTATCAAGAAATTGTACCCAATAATCCTCACCAAGATCACAGCCTTAGTCGAAGTTGCATCAAGATGAAAACCACCCTCCCCATTCCTCCCAATATCGAGCAAAACATCGACGAAATCCTTATCATCCTCCCCCCGATTCCTCGAATTCTCCCAATGCTCCATCACCACAGCCTCCAAGAACTCATCAAGATCCTCTGCAACTCTCCTAACTCTCCCATTCCACCCATTCAACCAATTGATCCAACCAAGCCATGGAATGAATTCCCCGACATTAAAACTCCCCAAAAGCACCCCCAAACTCTCCAAAACCTCTTTAAACTTCCTCCCACTTTCTTCCCCATCACTGTACTTCTTCCCCAAAGCAACCCTACAGATCACATCATTAGTAAGAGCTGCAAACTCCTCCCCGACATTGATCGCCGCCGGCGACCGTCGATGATCGTCGCAGGAAGCCCTAAATCTGTCCACCATTATTGCAACCTCCTCCTCCCGAACGTTCCTGAAAGACTGCACTTTTTTACTGCTCAACAGCTTATGAACACAGATGCTTTTTACCTGCCGCCAATACTCGCCGTAGGGGGAAAAGGCTACGTCTTTTCCGCCGTAGATCGCCGCCACGACGGCGATCTCCGGCCGGCTCGAGAAGATCCGGTCGTGGGTTTTTAGCACTTTCTCGGCGGCGGCGGCAGAGGAGACGACGAGGAGTGGCACATTGCCCAGATGGAGGAGCATCAACGGGCCGTGTTTTCCGGCGAGGGATCGCAGGATTTTGTGCGGGCTCGGGCCCAGCTGGTGCAGGTTGCCTAACAATGGAAGCTTCGGCGGCGACGGTGGGAGGTTTTTAGGGTTAGAGTAATTTGGAGAGAATAGTGAGGGAAGCTTTCGGAGGAGGTAGAGGGAGAGGAGAAGGAGAGGGAGGAGGACGGCCGCCGGCAGCCGTCGGATTTCTGGGAGATCAACGGTGGAGATGAGCATGATGATGAAGGTCTGTTGAGAATGAAGTAGTCGTGAGTAAAGGCTGTATTTAAAGTTGGGTGAGTAACGGATATAGAAACGGATATAGATGGTTGCAGTAATTCTTTGTACTTCTTTTTATTTATTTATTTATTTATTTTTTATTACGTGAAAATCCGCCGTTGGCAGCAGACATCAGTATGAATCCTAATATTTTACAAGACAGATAAATCACACTTACGAATTATGTATTATTTAAAATTAGTTGGGAAAATAGCATAAAATACATTTGTGGTTTATGTAAATTGAATGAAATTCTTCATTGTATTATATTTTTTCATAATTAAAAAATTTTGCATTCAACAGATTTATGTTATTAGTTAATTGTGGCATATCGCCCGTAAGTTACGCAAAATCAGATATATTAGAATTGTATGCACCTGAGATACTTGACAGAGCCACTCATCCTCAAAGGAAAATAGGAGATAAAGGCAGGGTCATAACGGGAATTTCAAATATGCTGAACCGGATATACAGGAATCGAAACCGAATGGTGTAAAAAAAATCGGTTTCGGTTCGACCCGGTTGGGCGAGTCTGCCCCCATTCTTACAAAACTTCATCATCATCCAATCATATCCAAACCCTAACATTTTCCCCTGTCTTCTTCGTTCAGCAATTCGTCTACCTCACTTCGTCTTTCAGCCAGCCGCCGTTTGCTTAGTCTCCTACAGCTGTAAATGTGTCAGAACATCTAAATACCGGAGCCGAAAAGGATTTGAAAAACTCTAAGTTCCAAAATGGCGCTCCGCCGAGCTGGGGCAGCTTCGTCAGGCATCCTCCGTTCATTTCTTCGAACTCCGCTTAGACATCCGTTTTCATCCGGTAATTGATTTCTTTGGTTAGATTTACATAACGATTTACTTTCGATTTCGAGTTGTAATGTTCCTGCTAAATTTATAGAATGAGGAATTTAGGGTTTGGGAGTATTTAGATTAAATGGGGATTTTGTTTAGCTTCTGTGATGAAGATGGAAAGGAGAAAGCGAAGGGAAGAAGCGAATTGCTGAAGCGTGAATTAGGGCGAAAGTTGTAGAAAGATCCATCCTATTGATTGTGGAAATGTTCTTCGTTGATCATATGATTCATTGGAATTAGAAATGAGCATATAATAGGAAATATATAGTCTGTTCTTCATCTAGCTGGATGTGGCTTCTGTTTTTGCCCGAATCTCCTTCTGAATTTTACTTTCGTGTTTCATCCTACAGTTGATTCTCTGAGATCTTCCGTGGTTTTATTGGATCAGATTCCGAATTCCAATTCTTCACCTTCCAATTTCTATTCCTTGTGGCAGTCTGCAAATTGCTAATATACTACTAGTAGGATGAGCTTTTGTGACTCTTTCATGGATATGGGAATCAGCCGATTTAATGTAATTGCCATTGAAGTTGATTATTGGATATTAGCTGTTGTGGTACGATAAGATTCTTCGATTTAACATTGGAATGGATGAAGCTTGCAGCTGCATTGCTTCCTCAGTCCTGCTTTTTAGATTGATAATTGCATTTGTCATAAATTTCAAAATTATTCTGCTCCCAAAATCATTGTTGATATAATTTCTTTACAATGTAATTTGGTTTAATGCTTTAACATTGCAGGCACTGTTGAGAAGATAGAGCCTGAAGCAGAGTTCTCATGGAAGGAGATGATGAGCCAAATGGTAACAATGGACACAAGCTCTCAAATAGGGAGTTCTATGCCTCTGTCGATGATGCGAATTGGGACACAGATCCACAACATTGAGCTCCGACCAGGGCAGGGTGGGAAACTTGTTAGAGCTGCCGGGACCTCTGCAAAAATACTCACGGAGCCCCATAGAGCGGCCAGGTAAATATTTGAATTTAGAAAATATAGTTACCTTCTTGCTTCCGTTTGATAACAGGGTATATCGACCGGTATTATGGATTGACTGATTTTGAAAAACATCAGCTCACTAATGTTGTTTTCTCTGGTTCAGTAGTGTAATCGGTTTCTTTGAAATGCTTATGTAGAGGTTTTTGTCAAAATTCAAAGTTTATCTTATAAAACATAAATGATGTGAGGTGAATAATTTTTTCCCATGGTCTTGTCCTTAATAAATGAGCTATGCAGAGATCGAACCTACACTCTTTAGTCAGTTTAACTAACTGCTTGAGCTTTCAACAACTTTGGAGAATGCGCTAGCACTGTAATTTGTCGAAAATCCTTAAAATTTGAATCAAAACAATATTTGATAGGTGTTTGATGCCATATTTTAATAAAAAATTTGATTTTTTGTGTAATATATTTAGGCGTGTGATTTGATGAACTATCCTTGTAGGCTTGTCGAGATAAAGTTACCATCGGGCGAAAAGAAATTGATTGACAAAAGGTGCAAGGCGACAGTCGGGATGGTGTCAAATCCAGAACACGCAAAAAAGAAGCTGAGAAAGGCTGGGCAAAGCCGGTGGTTGGGACGGAGGCCAACGGTGAGAGGTGTTGCAATGAATCCCGTGGATCATCCGCACGGCGGCGGTGAAGGCAAGAGCAAGAGCAGCGGAAGCCATGGCCGCGTCTCCCAAACACCATGGGGAAAGCCCACCAAGTGCGGCTACAAAACTGCTCGTCTAAAGAAGAGGAACTATTAAGGTATTCAATGTTGCTTCTTGAATTCGCGCATGCTCTACCATGTTTTGCCGTAGGGATCTAATAATTTTTCCTTGTTTCAAACACTAAAGAGTCTTTCCAACAAGCGACTTATTACCCTTTTTCAAGTTTTTTCGCATGATTCGACAGAGTGATGTCTTTCAAACCAACATACACAGATCCTTCTCTATAGTACAACACTCAATTCAGGTAATTTGACGGCTCGAAGCCTCGCCTACTCGGGTGCGACAGCGACGACCTGTTTTCCAACATTGCGACCCAAGAACAGTCCGACAAGAGCAGCAGGTGCGCTTTCGATGCCTTCAGCTACGTCTTCGATGTAAGTGATTTTTCCATTCTTGATAAGAGGAAGAACGAGGTCGAGGAACTTCGGGTACTGGTGGTAATAGTCGCCGACCATGAATCCCTCCATACGAACTCGTTTGCTTACGAGAGTAAAGAGGTTGCGCACGGGTTCGGGGCGATCGAGGTTGTACTGGGAGATCATCCCGCACACAGCAACACGACAGTGTAGCGCCGCGTTGAGAAGCACGGCATCCAGCATCTTCCCTCCCACATTCTCGAAGTATATGTCGATGCCCTTCGGGAAATACCTACACGAACGGAATTTTTAAGTTTGCGTTGCAACGTGTTATCGAAGAAATGTAGAATGTTTCGGAGTTGGGAATGCATTAACCTCTTTAAAGTTGCTGCTAAGTCCTCCTCTTCTTTGTAATTGAATGCATCGTCAAATCCTAACTTGTTCTTCAAGAGTTCGACCTTTCGACAACACGAACAAAGAAATTGTGAGAAGAACCAAGATAGCGTCCTGATTCTAAACCTATCCTCGGCTTATTACCTCGTTCGCAACAAGAAGAATTCTGAAAGTACGTTTTCGATCATAACTAGATTGCAAAGAAAATGATATTTTGAATATAAAATGAAACTTTCAAGGGAAAAGCAGCACATCATCCAATAGCCGATAAATGTTCCATTAGAAAAGCTTGTTGTCACGGATTATATTTAGTGATCGATTAACAAATATAAACACAAAGAAAGACAAAATTTTACATGGTTCTATCACGTGTTGCTACGTCCACGGACAGAAATAAAAAAAGATTTATTATTGAGGACGGCTGGGTTACATATTCTAAATTTTATATTTCTAAATCTATTTAAATAAGCTAAGAGAATACATCGGACGGGCTCAACCCAATACAATTTCAAAGCCCAATATTGCATACGGTTGGTTGGGGCACTTAGAGCTATAATTGAGCCGAACAGAGCCGAGCTTGTCATGTTTGAGCTCGGCTCGTTAAGGACTCGAGCTCGGTTCGAGTTCGTTCATTAAGGTATACGAGCTGAAATTTTTTTTCGAGTTCGGCTCGTCTAACAATTTTTTGTTCGTGTTCGGCTCGACTCGGCTCGTTAAGAGAAATTTTATTCTATTTATTTAATTTTTTTAAAAAATTTAAATTTAGTTAATAATAATTATAATTTTTATTAATAAATTTGAATAAAAAATAGAATGAAATATAATATTTATAAAGATATATATACTTATTAAATATAAAATTATTAATTTAATTTTTTTAATAAATAATATCGAACATTCACGAACAAGCTCGAACTCGTTCGTGAACATAACGAGCTAAAATTTATGTTCATGTTCGGCTCGTTTAGCTTAACGAACGAGCTCTTAGCGAGTTCAAACGAGTCGAACCGAGCCGAACTCGCGAACAGTTCATTTGTTTTACAGCTCTAGGCACTCCGTGCCCCGGACCCAGGCAAGGGGGACTTTGCCTCCCTTGACCCCCGGACTCACTGACCGTCAGCGAGATCCCCTGAAAACTCAACAAAGTGCCAAACTAGATTTAAGGCATATCAACAAGCCTCTGCCGAGGATTAAGGATAATTCTTTCATTCATTTCTAAATAAGATTGGGAATCATGTTTCATTGTGTGCATTAATCTTATATGTAACTATTGGAAATAGATCACCACAAGATTAGTATCAAATTGAGTCGAACTTCGTATAGGTACTAGTTCTTTTTCCGAAGGGCAGTCATCCATATTTATAAAGCTAAATCTAATAGCCATTGTATTCGAAAGGGATTGCTAACCTTGTCTTTGCTGCCGGCGCTTCCAACAACGTAACACCCCATCAACTTTGCGAACTGTCCGACAAGCTGACCAACAGCTCCAGACGCTGCAGAGATGAAGACTGACTCACCCTCTTTCGGAGTGCAAATCTCATAAAAGCCAACATAAGCCGTCATGCCAGGCATTCCTAAAATGAAGATACACAAACATTCAAGCAGTTTTATAATAAGATCAAGAACAAGTGTCGCCGCAATTTCCATTTTTCTGTAAAATCAATAACTTAAATTGAACATCAATGTCTTAATCGTTACTATCTTCAACCAAGTGGAACTACTACATTCATAAGCCACGAAGTTAAGTGCACAAATCAAAGTCGAGAAGCTGTATTCAACATCGATATTGCGCTTTTCAGAGACAGATAAACGAGAGAGTGTATTACAAAGCAAGAATCTTACCGAGCAGCCCAGTATAGTAAGTGAGAGGCACATCTGTGTTTTGAATTTTGAACAATGTGGCAGGATTAGTAATAAGGCTGTATTCCTCCCACCCGGTGAATCCCCAAACTAAATCATCTTTCTTCAAGTCGGGATATGAAGACTCAATTACTCTCGACACTCCATACCCCGCCATCGGCTGTGAACAGAAAGGAAACAGAGAATCATAGAAAACATAAAAAAGATCTCATCAAGATTAATGGAGCATGATCACTACAAGTTTTAATTCGTCAAATATCAGATTTGTATCATAAGTGTTGGTCCAAAACGCTTTAAATATTTAATAACACAAAACTGCATCAGATTTTCGTAGAAGGAATTCGAGCATCGCAAGCATAGTTATGTTATTCGTGGAAGGTTCAAACCAATCACGCACACTGTAATCGAAATATAAATGATAATCAAATTGTTAACCCAGTTTGGCCATCGAAGACCTACGTCTGAGGGTACTAACCCAGACAATATCATTTTTCATTAAGGACAAATCGAGCTTACAATAGAGTTGCACTAGATGATACCTCTAGAGTTCTCACACCCTCTCCCTAAGGTTGCTCAACTAGCGACCTATACCCTCAATCTTGCCTACTCTCTTTTTCTCACGTCGAGATGATCATTACCCCAAGAATTCACTTAGAACACAGATTAAACCTAAACTATGTATATGCAATTCGACAAAGATTTCTGTGTTCTTCAATCTTCACTAGCAAGCTTTAAGCACATTCTCATATGCGTATTTGGAAGGTCATTTTGCAGATCATATCCAATTAACACAAATTCAGCAGCACAACTTCGAAATTAGTTCTTTGATCATTCACCCAATTACCAAACACAAATACTCATAATTTAACCCCCAAATCAATCAATGGACATGAACTTAACCAAAAAAAAATAAAAAATACTAGTAGTACTTATAAAAATTCCTACAGTGAAATAAACTTACAGAGCCAGGGGTGAAGGAGTTGATGTAACTTCCAACGGTATGGCTCATGCGATTGCGCATGTAGGGATCACAGGAGAGGTACAGATTCTTCACCAAAACGACGCCGTTAGTTCCGTCGGGGATTTTCAGGTCGATGGTGGATTTCTTGAGCACCATATCGGACTCCTTTGGGAAACCCGTGATGTAGTCCTTGAGCAGCACCTGCTTGTTCTCTCGGCTCACTGTCTCCCCCGCCATAGCTGCTCCTCCTCGCAATTGGTTCTCGAGAATCTTCTAGTGTGCTGTGCTGCTGCCGACGGGTTGGAAATGGGAAAACGATTGCTCAAATTGGATTCGTGTGGTGTGAGAATTAATTTTTGAGATAAGAATTCTGATCTCAAAAATATCTTTTTCTCTCCTCAATTAATTTTTGAGATAAGAATTCTCGTGTGTTTCTTTGCACGGAAAAACAAAAAAATCCTAGGTTTTTCAAAAAAAAACATAGCAAAATATTCTATAATTTTGCGATGATTACACCACAAATAAGGACAAAAATATTACTCCTATATCATGTCCACCCACGTACCAGGTTATTTTTTTTTTTTTAAATGATTACGTACTTTAATCTTATTTTAAATTTTTAAATTTTATTTTTTTTAAATTTTAATTAAACTAATTAGTTATCTTAATTTTAATCTTAATTTATAATTATTTATATTATAAAATAATTATTTTTACTAATACATTCTTAATTATCTACTAATTATATCCCTACTAAAATACCGTGTGTATCTGGGAGGAGGGAGTATTTCACTATTTTTAACTATCCAGAAACAAAGTCGCCAAAAATAATTGTTTACTTTTAATATTATTATATTAATATAAATTAATTATATATATTTTTTTAAGTATAGGTAGTTGTTTAGTGTTTTGGTTTGAGTATTTTTTTTTTTTAAATATAAGATATAAATGAATTGTTCTTTTATAAAAAACTATTTTTATATTTAATGTTGATTTTTTGTAAAAATATAAAACATATATACTTACTTCGTTCAACAAAAAAAATTGTCATGTTTTATTTTTTTTCCGTCTCAAAGTAAAGTTATTATTTATTTATTTGATAATTGTATCATCTCCTTAATATTATAAATACATTTGTAATATACAATATATTATACAAATATTATTAATTTTATATTACACAATACTAATAAATATATTTTGATCTTTTTCTATTGATTTGTAGTGTAATGTAATACTAATATTAAAAAATCTACATGAAAAAAAAAACTATCTTGTTCCGAAATGAAAGAAGTATTATACATTGAGAATTATGTCAAAAAAATATTGGACAAATAAATCCAAAAATACTAAATTTTTTATTGAGGAAAAAATGAAAATAAAAAAGTTTTGAACATACGCATAAAATATTAAAAATTTAATCAACTTAATTTATGTTTATTAAATATATTTAAAATTGAGAAATTTTATTAAAAATAAAAATATATCAACAATTAAGATCTACTATTAGGAGTTAACTAAGGGTGAAAATAGGCGAGTCTCTTAGGACTACGCTTGATTTGCCTATTTATTAAAAGAAATTAATTTAAATTTATTTTAAAAACCTATTTAATTTATTAGAATAGGTTTAAGCCTATTTATATATAATTTTAATTTAATATAAAAATTATTATATTTTAAAGTATTTATAATTGTTTTCTAAAAATATAATTTTAGTGATAATAACTAAATAAAATTTTGATTTCTTGTAACTATAATTATATATTTATACATAAAAAAATAATTGTATTTATATATTTTTCACTAATATTAAAAAATAATTATTATATATATTTTTAAATAAACTTGTTGACCAGATAGACTTCACATTTTTTTATTTTTTTTTGAATTAACAGGTCAGCCTTAGGCCATAATTTTTTTAAATAGGCATATTTAACTAAAATTTTGCCTGATGTATTTTCACCCCTATTAAAAACACACAGTAAAAATTAATAGTGGCTTAGATAACAAAAAGGCAATACAAAATATAGGTCAATATAATATAAATATAACATATGAATTAACATTAATTAAGGTACCTGATATATTAATACATATATATAAAATAGAATAAACAATACACACTACAAAGTACAAACTATGCTATATTAATTCAACGTAATGTACTGTCTATTTATATTTCATATGCTGATTAGGGCTAATCGGCACCCTAATCACGCCCCACGCTTATACTCGGTTTTTTAGGAACAACGAGAAGAGGATTTTTTTTATGCATAGCGAGTCCAGGCAAACTATCTTCATCGACACTTTCCGGTTTAACTCCGGGAGGAAGATCCCAATCAAAAGCGTATACAAGATTCGCGACGGTGAGCTCCACATTGGCGAGCCCCATAGACATGCCGGGGCAAATTCTTCGACCCGATCCAAATGGAATGACCCCGAAATCTTGCCCTCGAACACTTACATTGTTGTTCAAGAACCTCTCCGGCTTAAACTCATGGGGACTTTCCCAATACTCGGGATCTCTTGCAATGGCCCACGCATTGACATATACAATTGTTTTTGGTTCGATTTCATATCCATCCAATGTGCATTTGGCGATAGTCTCTCTTGGGACGAGCAATGGGGCGGGTGGATATAACCTCAACGATTCACTTACAACCGCCTTTAGATATGGAAGCTTTTCGATATCATCTTCGTCTACTAGAGATTTTTGACCTAGCGAATCCCGGATTTCTCTTTGAAGTTTCTTCATTACCCTCGGTGCTTTCAATAGCGCCGTCATTGTCCATACGGTGGAGGCTGAATTTGTATCCGTCCCCGCGACAAAGAAGTTCTTATAGACATTGTAATGAGATGAAAATTTAGTAAGTGATTAATTAATTTTTATTTAATTTTGATTAGTTAATTAATCACTTAGTAAATAATATAATCAGCAATTCTAAGATGTATAGCTACCCTCTCCTCAAATTTAATCACTCAATTTTCTATCTATTGTAAAGTGCTTAAATCTAATTTTAGTCCTATACGTAACACAGCTTAATTCATCGATGTTGTCTTTTAACTAGATTTTCGATTTGGAAATATTTATATATTTCATTGGTTGTTGTTACTTCAATAATTTTGGATTTATTGGTGAACCTCATGATAATAGTCCCTCTATATGTCATTTTCTATAAGCATATGATATGAGTGTAACATCTTAGTTTGGTCCAAGATCATTAGAGCAACGATAAGTGAGATAGAAAAACATCTCTAAACAAAGATCACCACTTACATGATTAAAATAAATATGTATATTTCCAAAGTAAAGAAAGCATAAATATGTAAATTTAAAATATCTTTGAATTGTAAGGGCATGATCTAATAAAAATTGTACATTGAAAAAATATACTCCCTTTGTGTTAATTGATTTTTTAAAATCATTTTGGTCGGTTTACTCATCATTTCTGATTACAGTGAAAGTAAATATATGCTAATATAAAAAATATTATTTTTAACTTTTTTATATAAATTACAAAATTATCATATATACTTTCATTCATCTATAAAATATTAGTATTTTTTAATCTATTATAAAAATTTTAAAAGTAGTGAATGGAGAGGGAGTAAAAATATTTTATTAATCTTTTAATGCATACTAGGTAAATCCCGTTCAAACAGATAGTATGCAACAAAAAATAAATTAACAAGATAAGATACACTAGACAAACCCGTTTGCAAATTTATTTTACAAAACAAGTGTATTTATCACACCAATTTCATCGTCCTGTAAATCCACTCGACTATCTTTTACGGGACAAAATGATGGAATATTTTATTAGTATTATAAGATTCACAATTACGAAATCAAGAAATGTTATTATTGTATGTGTACACCTTAAATAGCAAAATATGTCTAAAGGGCTAAAGCTTACCATTATCAAAGCCTTTATACAATCCCAACTTAGATCAACCGAGCAAGATTCGTTTTCCTTAAGCCGAATCAACACATCAAGAACATCGATCTCCTCGCCGATCTTTTTCACCCGGTCGGGATCAAGATGCTTGTCGATGATCTCTTGATAGAACCCATCCAACTTCTCGAAAGTCCTCTCAAGCCTATCCATCAAACCGGACAATCTATCGATCCATCCAAACCATGGAAAGTGATCCGACACAAAGAAAGCAGCCATCATTGCCTGAGCCTCGTGCAAAAGATCATCGAATCTTCTCGACTCGCAACCCTCCCCGAAAGTAACTCTACATATCAAATTACTGAAAAGGCTCATAGCCATTTCACTAAGGTTCACAGCTTCCCCCAAAGATGCCAATTCCGACAACCTATTAACCATCAAGAACACCTCATCCTCTCGGACTGATCGAAAAGATTTGGTCTTTTTTAAGCTGAGGAGATGGACGATCGAGATCTTCCTCATCTCCCTCCAGTGATTTCCGTAAGGTGCGAAGGCGATGTCGAGGCAGCCATAGGAGAGCTTCGACTGGCCAAGGAGGCGGGGGCGGCTGGAGAAGGAGAGTTCTTGTGTTTTGAGGGCTTCTTTGGCGAGCTTTGGGGATGAGATTACGAGCAATGGCGTCTGGCCTTGCTTCATTTGCATAATTGGACCGTATTTTTGGGAGAGATGCCATAGGTGAATGTGAGGTTTGTTTGCTGCTGCCATGAACTGGTGGAGGTTGCCCAGCAATGGCAGCCCTGGAGGGCCTGGTGGAATTAGGGTTTTTGGTGGTGATGAAGGTTTGGTTCTGGTTAGGGTTACAGTGATGACGATGATGGTTAGGGTTATTATGGAAAGAGTTGCTGCTACCAGAAGGATCATCTTTTGGGAGAATTTTTAAATTTGATTTGATTTGTTTAAATATGTATTAGTGTGAATATATATATATATATATGTAACAGTTACGATGCTGAATTGGAAAAATCAGTACTGTGCTGATTTTTAAAAAATCAGTATCCGATAATATATACAAACAACATATAGTCTTATTATACACGTGTATAATAAAAACATGTGTTGTTAGTTTAAATTATAAATATGTTGTATAAGAGTATGTGGTGTGTTGAAACTATTGTGTGTTGTTAGTTCATGTGTTGTATTTGTATTATATGAATGCATACCGTGTATTGTCTCTAGCAATATAGTGTGCTGTCTATAGTAATACCGTGTGTTGTTTATCAGTACGGTGCTGAATTTTATGTGTGTACGTGTGGATCGAGTTTAAAATGATTGGAGAAGATGATAAGGCTCCTGCCAAACTGTAATGAAGCCAATTCTAAAATTATTTCTTGTTTTTGTTCGGAGGTTTGATTTTTTAATTTTAGATTTATTTGATGTGATTAAAATAAATATTGATTACCATATTGAATTAAAATGAAATATTAATTTATTTGAATAAAAAAAATATATGAGTTTATTTAATAATTTTTGGAAAATATATTAATAGCAGAAATTTTTTAAAAGTTAAACTTTCAAGTGGATATATACATGCACTGGACTTGCATAAATATCACACTTAGTAACTATTTATTTAAAAAATAATGAAAGATTAAAATACCAAAATCAAAAGGGTACGTTTTGATTGTGATTTCAAACTAAAATCAACATTATTTATGGATACAATTTTCAATAAAAATATAATATTATTTTTCTTATAAAATATCATTTCAAAATAATATTAAAATAATGACTTAAATCTAACCTCCTGTACCAAACTTGTTTATACAAGTATTTCTTGTAAAACGATACATTATCATTTTTTTTTACAAAGTACTGTACTCCCTCCGTCCACTTATAAAGTATACAATTACTTTTTGCGCGGTGTTTAAGAAATAATAATATTTTAATTATAGTGGGTAGTTAAAAGTAGTGTAATGACATTTTTGCCTTTGTTTTTTGGTGTAAAAGTAATGATGTGATGTAAAGTAATGGTATTTGTGAAAAAAAGAAAAGTATTTAACGAAATGTTTACTTTGTAATTGGACGTCCCAAAATAGAAATATGTATACTTTCTAGCTGGACGGAGAGAGTATAATTTATTATTATTATTTAAAAAAATACCAAATAAAAAAAAATTACAATAATTTTTAAGGTATGTGACATTTAGTAAAAATAAATAAATTATATTCATAGAAAGTTACAAAGTTAAATAATAAATATTTTCAAAATAATTGTAAAAAAAACACTAATGTGGAAAAAAATTTTTTTTTATGAGAAATCAACAGGTGCAAGCAATATTAATTAAACAGTATTTAATATAATGATTACGTAAGTTCTTAAACGATATTATACGTAAGTTCTTAATGTAGTATTTATTTATTTGCTAAATAGATGCATTTTTTCTGGTAAGCTATTTTTATCAACTACTTCTATTTAAATAATACTCCCTCCGTCCAAGCTAGTGGGTAGGTAAAAGTAGTAAAATGATATTTTTGTCTTTTTTTTTTTTTTTTGTATAAAAGTAATGATGTGATGGAAAGTAGGGGTATTTGTGAAAAAAATGGGGTATTTAATAAAATGGTTACTTTGTAATTGGACGTCCCAAAATAGAAATATATATATTTTTTAACTGGACGGAGCGAGTATTATTTTTTATAAAAACAAATAGACACATATTATATAATTTCATCATGTATATTGAAGTTTTTGAATTATTGGTACGTAATATAAGTTAAATTTTCTGTCCGATAATTAATCTAATTGAACACAAAGATTAAAAAATAATATTATTTTAATAATAACGTAAAGTATTTTGTCCGATAAAATTATGTGAGTCTAGTTGAGCACAAAAATTAAAAAATAAAAATATTTTAATACTAATGCTAACAAAATTTTTAAATTTCAAGAGTAATCATTTAAAAATTTATTCACTTTTAAAAAGTTTTCAATTATAATGTCACAACTTTTTACTATAACCGTTTCAGGTGTAATATTTGTAAAAAGAAATTATAAATTTTCTTTCGTTGAGTATTAGAGTCACCTTTATTCAACATAATTTTTCGTGTATCATTAAATCACGATTCAAGAGTATCTATTTTATCAAATCGAATAACATTTATTTGATTTTAGAAAATTTAGTTACGTTACGTTACTCATATTTCTATAGAATGTGAACATGTGATCGGGTCGAAAACGATGGCATTGCTAAGATTAATCAATGGTTTTGTGTGACAACATCATTTTCTATTTTTAAAAAATACAATTTTTATACTATTTCTTTCGTCCCTTAACAATTTATTCATTTTTCTATTTTGGTCGGTCCCATAACAAAGTATTCATTTTTTTTTTAAGTAATTGTACTATCTACCTAACATTACAAATACCCTTCTAATTTACAATATATTACACAAATGCCATTATCTTTATATCATACAATACTAATAGGGTTAATTTTGTCCTTTTATCTTTATTTCTATTTTATCACAATATAATACTAATATTTCTAAAACTTCGTGAAAAAACCAAATAGATATATAGATATGAGACGAAAGAAGTATAAAAAAATGAATAAAATTTTTAATTAGACAATTGGAAAAAAAATTAGAAGACAAAATTATATAGGTATGTTTATTAGAGTCTCTAATCCATTGGGATTAATGATTAATTCAATAATTATTGCAATAGTAAGGGACAAAGATATCCTCTGTTGTCGAAAAATAAATTCATTTATTTTTTAAATAAATTTTAATCTGTTGTGTATTTTTTTTTTACTATATTTCTTCTTATAGTAAAAAAAAAAAAATAGAAAAAATAATTGACTTTCTTTTTTTCTATATCGTAATAATTGATATTTTTTTTTTATTTTGGATAAAATTTATTAAATTAAAACATATTTAACAAATATAAATCTAATTTAATTAACTATATATATAACATCTTATATCATGTATGACAATTCAAAACCTCTTTATTTCTATTTTTTTTTCAAAAAAATAAATATTTTTATCTACGTTTAAAACTCAACATTTTTTTTAATATTTTATGTTAACTATAAATAAATAATATTATTTTTTATTTACTTGTATTATATAAGCTTTTTTAAAAAAATGATATCCATATACTAAAAAAAAAATAATATATTTGTAACGGAATTCCGTTTTTTAAGTTCACGTAGCTAATGTAATTTTATCTCTGATTCCGTTTCTAATGTCATTTGTAACGGAAATAGTAGATTTAGGAACGAAAAAACCTTGTTACAAAAATAATATTTTCTTGTAGTGATATTGTATATATTTTCTATTGGGATATAATTTTTGAAAATATTTAAATATATATTTTTTAATGTTTTAAATTATATATATTAAATTTATTTTAAAACTATAAAATATTATTAATTATATAAAAAATAAAAATATAATATCATAACTTACTATTATTAACTAATAAAATATCATTTCCTTAAATACCTTATTACTAATGAAAGGAAGATAGCATTATATATTGTGTTGAGAGTTAATATATGTGTTGTTTAGACTATTGTTATATGTTGGTAGTTTGTATATATAATCGAAATTATGTTAATATAAATTTTATATGATCTCTTTGTATTGTACTAATATATAATACTCCCTCCGTCCCATGTAATATAGGTGTATTATCGTAGACACGACAATTTAGGAAAGTATAATTAGTAAGTAATTAAGAAGTGTATTAGTAAAAATAATTATAGATTAAGATTAAGATAAGTAAATAGTTTAATTAAAATTAAGAAAAATTTAAAATTTAAAATTTAAAATGCGATTAAAGTGCATAATTGTATTTCCAAAAATAGAAATGACAAGTTATGTGGGACGGACGAAAATAGAAAATATGGACAAATTATGTGGGACAGAGGGAGTATGTGCTAAGTTCAATGTATTATGTATTGTCTAAACCGTGTCGTAAGTTATATTTATATTATATTAATATGAATTAGGTATTAAGTGTCCTTTTGCTATGTGCTGTCATGAATACGAAGGTATGTTTGTTCGAGGGTTTGGATTTTGAATTGAGATTTGAATAGTAAAAATTTTAAATTAGAATAGTGGTATAATGTGATAAAAATAAGTGTTAATGTGATGTTTTGAATGTAAAATTATTTTTTTAGTATAATATAACAAATAAAAAATAGGTATTTGATTTGATTTTTTTGAATAAAAAAATTGATGAACAGTGAAAATATTTGGAAATCTTCCAAACAAACACACCATTGTAATATTTTCAGTACTCCAAATGCTACTATGGAATAATTCCCCTTTCAAATTTCATTAAATAACTTGTTTTTAATCAATGAACAAAGTTCAACACACTTAGCCCAAATATTGGTCCAATGACACAATTTTTAACTAAGCCTAATTAATTAATAGCCATATCATTTAGTCAATTAATCAATAATAAATTTTGAAATACAAATTTAATTTACACAACTTAAATTTTTAACCATTGATTGAATTATTAACCGATTAATCAGTAATTCTTTTTTTTTTTTTGCATAAAAAAACAAAAAAAAAAAAGACAAAAATACAGAGATGCAGATGCGATGTTTTAAATAGAAATCTTCTTCGGCACAAGTACAAGTGGATCTTTCTTAGTCATTGTGAACCCGGGCAATATGTCTTCGTCGACCTTTTCTGCTTGAACTCCCGGAGGAAACTCCCAATCGAACGAGTAGACAAGATTCGCAATCATAAGCTCAACATTGACAAGCCCCATAGACATCCCGGGGCAAATTCTCCTACCGGATCCAAATGGAATCACTCCATAATCTCGTCCTCTAACATCAGCACCATTGTTCAAGAATCTCTCCGGCAAGAACTCATCAGGATTCTTCCAATACTCGGGAT